GTTCCTTCCAGCTCAGAATATTCTGGTTCTGTGGAAGGCAGGCCACTGAATGTTACCCATTGCTCATGGGAGGGTCAGTCAGCTCTGGCTGCTCAGGGCTTGTGCGAGTTTTCAGTTTCTCCAGGGACAGGGATCCCACAACTTCCCCATGCTCCAGTCTTACCAGACTCATGCTGATAATTTTTTTTCCTGGTATCTAATCAAAGATTCCAATGTTTCAACTTGTGCTCATTTCCTCTTGTCCTGTCACCCTGTACTTCTGAGAAGAGCCTGGCTCCACCCTCTGCAACCTTCGAGGAGTCAGGTCCAGACACCAATGAATTCCCTTCAGCTGTCTCTTCTCCAGTCTCAACAGTCCCAGCTCCCTCTGCTTCTCCTTTTATGTCCTGTGCTCCTGCTCGTGAGCATTTTGGTGGTCCTGTGCTGCCCCAAATTGGACACAGCACTCAGTATGTGCCCTCAGTAGTGCTGAGCAGAGGGGAGGAATCACCTTCTGGACTTGGTATCTACACACTTGCCACAGTCCTTCTCAACAGCAGCACCATGGATCGACTGCTTCCACAGAGGAACTTGCATTGCTCCCTGACTGTTGCCTTGGTCATTAATAAGGCATAAATCACTCCTGGTCCGAGTATTGATCCCTGAGGCTTCTGGTAACTGGTCACCAGTTGGACTTTATACCCCTGAAGGATTACAAACAACCCTCTGAGCCCAGCAGTCCAGCCAGTTTTCCACCCACCTTATCATCCGCTTATCCAGTCTGTATCTCACTAGTTTGACAATAAAGATATTGAAGAAAACACTGACAAAAGCTTGCTGGAGTCTAGGAATATGATCTCTACTTCTCTCCCTTCTTACATAGAGCTTGTCATACCATCATAGAAAGGGTTCAGGCTGGAAGGGCACAATTAGCCCTTGGTAAATCCGTGCTGGCTGTTCCAAATCAACTTCTTGTCCTTCCTGTGTCTGGAAATGGCTTGTAACAGGATTTGCTGTACGACATCCCCAGGGACTGAGCTGGGGCTGAGCAGCCTATATATCCCCAGATCCTTCTTGCCCTTCATTTGTCTTTTTCCAGTCACCGGGAACCTCACTGTGACCAATGACAGAAAGTGGCCTTGCAGTGACAGAGGCCAGCTTCCCAAGCTCCCTAGATGCCTCCCATTTGGTCCCATGGATTTGTCTATGGCTGACTGTCCCAAGCACTCACTAACTGTCTACTTCAAGTATGGTTTTACTCCCACAGGCTCCATTAGGAGGCTCAGGCACCTGAGGCCGGAGGGACTACCAGGTCAATGATAAAGAAAGCAAAAAAGGCATTGAGCACCTCAACCATTTTTATCAGGCCTGGGGTCCCCAGCCACACTGAACAGCTGGCCAATATCTTCCTTAGCCTTCATTTGGCTGCAAAAGTACTTAAAGAAAGAGCTCTTGTTGTCCTTCACATAATTTTCTAGATTCACCTCCAGCTGAGGTTTGGTTTTCCTACATTTGGCATTCCCTGCATGCTCTGGCAATACCTCGATACAAATTTCCAGGTAGCCTGTCCCTGCTTTCTCCTTCTGTGTACTCCCTTTTTTTTTCTGATATCTTTTTAAATGGAGATTACTGTACTAGGAGTTAGAGCTTTAAACTATTTTACTCAGGCATCCCACTGCAAATTTGTACAATCAATAGATACTTTTCATCCCAAGTTTCTTTAGAAGTAAAGTTTTCTGATTTTTTTTTCCCAGTTTCTGATAACCTCCCATGTTAATGTAATTCTACTACTTTCAGCTCATGTCTTCATTTTCACTAAGCCTCTTAATACTACTTGTCCCCTGAATGTTATGCTCCAGTTAAATCCTTGTATAATTGCATTGCGTTTAATTTGTTACACTTGGGGCTCATTTCACCTGGTCTCCAACCATATGAATTTACTACATTTTACTGCATAAATCAGTATTAATATATATGTTTTAAAAGCTTGTGATGCTACCCAGTCTTTACCAACTATGTTCTTGCTATATAATTTTTAGTCAGTGTAGTTACTCATGTAACCTCTGCATTTTGGTTTTATAATCCTACGAAGTTTCTGAACACGTTACTGAATGTAGGTTTTGGGGGAAGCAGGAAATTAAAGTTAGACCTCCTCCTCCTCCCAAAATCTCACTTTACTGTTCTCACACACACACATGAAATAAAGCAAAATCTCATTCCAGTATTGCCTACAGTTATTATTCTGACACTTGTGATTATTCAGTTTACTCATCCAAGAGCATGCACGTGCATTTGAAATGTAAATGTATTAATCTTATAAAAACTACTGCTTGATAATTTAAGGACTTGTGGGCAAACAACGGATCCAGAACAATAGGAAAAGGAATGTGCTCTGTTCTTTATGCACACAGTATATATAACAATGAAGTAGAACTCAATAATGAATAAGAAAATTCACACCTTTTGCTGTCATTTTGATCATTAATTTCTATTTACTGTCTGGAGTTAGGTGGAGGCAAACCCACACACTTTAATCCTTTCAATTTTCTTCATGGTATTAAATACATTATGTATATTTTTTTCACTTTTCTGCAGAAAAGCTCTTTCACTAAATGGAATCGAACAGCTAGAATAGCAAAAATTTTTCACTAAATCCACACACTTTTTTTCTTCTAAAACTTGGATCTATGTGTCTGTTTATGTATCTGTCTTGGAGTTGAACATGCAAGTATTTTTTCCTCTCTACAGCACTTTTTCATATTCAATAAAAACAATTGACTTCACTGATTTTTTTTTTAATAGCTTTTCAGTTTCTACTCCCTTTGTGCCATTTTTAAAAACTTTTTCACATTAGGTAAATCTTGGTACCAGTCAGTCAAAGAAAGAAGAAATAAAATCTAGTTAAAAAAATTGAGAAAATCCCACGGTGTTCGTTTGAGTACTTAGGAATGAACTAAATTCTATTAAAAAGATTACATTTCCCAATTATCTGATTGAGTTTTGGATTACAGGGGGAAGATTTGACTTTCTGAAGTCCTGGTTCTGAGAGCTGATAAGGATTTTGACTGGAAAACAAAGGGGAAGTGGGAAAAAATAAACAAAAGTGGAGTCCTTAACTTTGCAAATCACGTTCTACCTTGTAGTACTTAGGAGAATTTTCTGAGAATACTTACATATTGTAAATAGCCTGAATTTTTCGTTATGGCTTTATTTAAGCTGTTTCTGCCCCAGGTCATTAGCCACAGAATCACAGAATCATCAAGGCTGGAATAGACCTTCTAGATCATCCAGTCCCACCATCAACCCAGGTGGTACAAACATGTCCAGGAGAAATTCCTAAAACACCTGAGTGACAACTTCTTGGTACAGGGGCTCAGGGAGCCGACTGGCAGAGGTGCCCTTTGAGATTTGTTTCTTGTTCCCAGAGAGGCCCTCGTGGGTGAAGTGGCCATTGGTGACTGTCTTGGCCACAGTGACCGTGCAGCCGTTGAGTTTCCCATCTGGTGCTTTGCCTGCTCCCGTCTTGCTCCTGAGATGGACCAGGCACAGGTGAGCACGGTTGGAAAACCAGCATCTTTTATTTATGTGTCCATGGCAAAGCTGCTGTCCCAAAACAGGTTTTTCACCCGGTGTGCAAGAAGCCAATCCCCACACACAGACTTGAGGTATTTCTTTTCTTTATTTATTTCAGTTCTGTACAGAAAGGGGTGCTGAGTGGCAAATTCACAGGGTCAGAACGACGACTATCAACACTTTTCACTATTTATACATTTTAGCAAACAAAGGGATTAATGTTCACTGGCTACAAGCTATGTGGTTCTCTTATTAACCTACTATACTAATTATTTTATTATTCTTAATAAAAAATTAAACAACAACTGTTATAAATAAATTAGTAGACAAACTTATCTTATAAATTATAAAAACTTTACATTATTTTAATATATCAATATAATTAAGAATTAATTAAGAAATATTATTAATCTAATTGAAGATACTACTTCATATTCTATCTTCTATCGATTAAAAGATTTCCTCCCTTCTTATGTTCATTAGCTTTCTATGCCCCTCTTAGGTCTGGGATCACTGAAGCCTGCCAAGTCCTAAACCTGAGCCAGGCAATTCTACCAACAAGGGATTGATCCTTCTAAGGCCTGGCCATCCAGGCCAGCCCGTGCTGCTCCCTCAGGGAGCTGTGCAGGCTCCAGGTCAGCTCTCATCTCCGGGGCCCAGCCTGGTGCTGGCAGTGGGCACTAATCCTCCGGCCGTCCCGCCATGCAGGGGATCCGGAACAGCCGGCGCAGAGCCCGGAGCACCCGCCTGGGGCGGGAGGGACGTTTCCTGGGGACCTGGCTCTCTGTGTCTGCCTCTGGCACCTGCTCTCTGGAGCCAGGAGAAGCTGCTGCCTGTGCTGACCCCTGGGGAGCAGGGTGAGGGTCCTGCAGGAGCTGTGGGTACTTGGGGTTGACCCAGATGGTGCGGATGGTGATGTATTTCCACAGTGTCTCTTCCCTGGCAAAGGACCACTGCTCAGTCTGTGGCCCTGGCAGCTCTGGCCCCCCCACTGCCCCCTCCCAAGAGTGAGGTGAGGGGCTGGGGGGGCAGCAGGGGCTGTGTGGGGCAGGGCCCGGGCTCTCTGCCCCTGCTGCCTTCACCCGCTTCCACGAGGCAGGAGAAGCTGCTGCCTGGGCTGACCCCTGGGGAGCAGGGTGAGGGTTCTGCAGGAGCTGTGGGTGCTTGAGGTTGAGCCAGATGGTGTGGTTTGGGATGTGTTCCCAGTTCTCCTGCAACAGCTCTTGGTAAATGTTGTCTTCCTTTTGGGACAACACTGGGTCTCTAACTTTGACTTCCCCTTCAGACAACTCTGGGTCTACTCTCACTTCCCCTTCAGACAGTTCTTCCTCCATGGAGCCTTGGCAAAGTGCTTGGCAAAGCACTTTGTCACTGTCATCTTCTGCTTGGGACAGCTCTTTGTCTCTCTTGCCTTCCTGCTGGGACAGCTCTTGGACTTTCACATCTACCCCTGGGGACAGTTCTTGGATTGTCTCATCTTCCGATTGGGACAGCTCTTGGATTCTTTGATTGTTGCATTGGGGCGGCTCTTGGACTTTCTCATCTCCCCATTGCAATGCTTCTTGGTACCTCTCAAATTCCCATTCGAACAGCTCATGGACTCTTTCCTCTCCCCATTGCAATGCTTCTAGGTATCTCTCAAATCCCCATGGGGACAGGTCCTCATATTCCACATCTTCCCATTGGGACAGCTCTTGGATTTCCTCAGCTTCCCACTGGGACAGGATATTGTCAGGTTGGGAGTTGGGGTTTGCCCTCTCCTTGAGCATCTCCATCGTCCTCTGCCTCAGAGGCTCTCAGGGAGCTGCTGCCTCCTGAGTGAGGCACTCTCTGCACAGGGGACACCCCAGGGCTCTGCACCCCTTCAGTGCCCCCCACCCCCGGTGTCACAATGGCCTCTGGGCACGACGTGGCCCCCGCATCACAAAGGGCCTGGAACACAGTGCTGTCACAAAGGGCCACCCCTGGCACCCCAACAACCATGGAACTGGCTGGAACCACCTGGAACCAGCTGGAACCTGTTGGATCCACCTGGAACAGGCCTTGTCTGGCTCTGGGCAGCTCCCAGACCTGCAGGCCCTGGTGTGCCCAGACCCCTGGGAGGCTTTTGACACTGTCCCACACAACATCCTGATCTCCACACTGGAGAGTCATGGGTTTGGAGGGTAGGCTACTTGGGGGATGAGCAACTGGATGCAGGGATGCAGCCAGAGAGTTGTGGCCAGTGGCTCCTTGTCCAGGGAGAGGCCAAGGATGAGGGGTGTCCCTCAGGGCTCGGCCTTGGGACCAGGGCTCTGGAATGTCTTTACCAGTAGCACAGACAGTGGGATTGAGCTCAGACTCAGCACGGTGGCAGGTGACAGGAGGCTGAGCAGGGCAGGTGAAATAATAAAGGATGGAGCCATCCAGAGGGACCTGACCAAGTTTGAGAAGTGGGACCACGAGAACTTCATGAGCTTCAGTAAGGCCAAGTGAACGGTGCTGCACCTGGGTTGGGCAATTCCAGAAACACTGAATCCCAGAATCATTAAGGTTGGAGGACACTTTCAAGATCATCCAGTCCCACTGTCAACCCAGCACCTAAACCACTCCTAAACCATATCCCCAAATGCCACATCCACACGCCTTGTGAATGTTTTAACAGTGAGTCACTGTGTCTTTAACAGGGATTTTGTTTTGAGCACCTGTGGATTTTTGCACATGTTCAAGATCTGAACAGCAATGTCCACCAACATTCTGTACAGCTCTTATCTGAAGCTCAACATAACCCAGACCAGTGCAGTGCCAGTAAGATCCCACCATGCCAGGAAGATTTCCCAGTTGCAGTCAGAGGAGTGTCTGGGACCTTATCTATGCTGTGAAAAAATGCTTGAGGTTAGAAAGCAAAGGTCTCTGCAGGCTCACTTTATTGCCCTCTGCAGGCTCACTTTATTGCCCTCTGCATTCCCACCCACCACAGATGCAGCTCTCACTGCAGCAAGGATCGTCCAAGGGGAGCAGAACTCAGGGGCAGCACCCCCAGGAAGGGGCCCTCGGCTCAGAGCCTCTGTTTGCCCTCAGAAATGTCAGTTCTTAAAGCCAATAGCCCGGGCCAGGTTGCAGGTATTAACTGTACTCCACCTGTGTTGCAATCAAGGGCAAAAGTGAGCCTTTGCAATCCCAAACTTGTGCTTTCAAGCAAGATGTTCCACCAGATAAACTGCAAGAGGAAAGGGTCAGTTATAAGCTATGCATGTTGCCCACACCAAGCTATATAAGGTCAGCCTTTGCTGATAAGGATGAAGGTACACTGTATTCCCTTAGAAATGGGGTATCTTACAAAAAAATACACTGGATTTTGAAGGAGCTGGCTTCTGCTTTTTATTTCAATGCATTAATTGTTGCCATTTCATCACAGTCTATGAGAAGCTGAGTGCTCACTGTATTTATATCACTGAACACATGAATAATCTCTAGGATTTAATATTAAAATGTTTTTATATAATGACAAAAGTGGACTTGTCAGAAGTTCACAACAAAATGCAAGCAAAGAGGGTTCTGAAACCTCTCTTGTATTGACAGCACACTCAGAGAGGTTTCCTCTTTCTCTTATGTTGATAAGGTGGGGTTTTATTATGTGAGTACATTTTTAGAACAACCCAAATTTGCACCCTTGCAAATTTAAGATCAGGAAAACATGGCAGGAAGACAAAGAGCATCTAGGTAATTCCTGCCAGCACATCTCAACCTCTGTTAACATGACCAAACCAGCCCCCTCCTAAGGGATGAATGACACTGAAGACCCCAAAGAACCGATGTGTGTGCAGGCACCAGTGGTACATTTTGTCTGGGCATCTCACATCCCAGACAAAAGTGACTGAGGAAAACCTGTACAAAAGGGTGTCCTGCAAACTTTGCTCTTATGTTTAGCAGAACAGGTAAGTAATGCACAAAAGAGCACATGCTACCTTTAGACTCGCTAACCCACATAAAAAAAAAAACCAAACCAACCAACCAAAACCAAAAAAAAAACAAAACAAAAAACCCAGCCAAAACACAGGCAAAATCTATCATGGGACACAAAATAACTGGCTTTCTGTTTGTTTCCCACACAGCTTTACTGAAACAAGTCTTTCAAGTCATCTCATGGCAGACTGTTTTATGCAATACTCCATTAAATGTTTTTCAGATGAGGGTTGTTTCTACATCCCTTTTTTTCTGAGGTCAGTGCACTTCCAGTATGAAAAGCTGTTCCAACTGCCTGCCTGCCCCTTTGAGGCTGATAGAGCCAGGCTGCCTCCCCAAGAGGGGATCTGTCCATCTCTGGAAAATGTGGAAGATTTTTTTGTAGTCAGCTCTTTGTCTTCCATCTCTCAAACCATCCTGCAGGAGCCCTATTCCCTAATTTCACCCTTGTTATGTTGCTTTGAGGTCAGATGGTCTGGGACAAAGCCAAACATTTGATGCAGGAAGTGTCAGAGTCAGCAGGGCTCTTCCCTGATAAAAATGTTGCTTTTAGTTCAGCAGCCCAGGACAAAGTCAGTCCCTTGAGCAGGTCCTAAGGGAGCAGTTCATAGAGACTGAAGGAATATGAACAACCACTGGCTGAGATCAGAGCCAGGTCTTGAGGGATCTTTCCCTGTTCAGGTCAGCAACAGCAGAGCGAGTTATTCCTTAGAAAGGGTGGCAGCACTCAGGTGTTCCCAGTCCAGTCATGACACTTTTTCGACAAAGCTCTGTGTGTTTAAAGATCTCTGTATAGGTCCGACTCCCACGCACTTCATTGCTATATTCAGCTCTCATTATGGCTGTGAGGTTTGTTCTGGATGGGCTCTCCATCCCCACCCCCTGAGAAAGCAACAGATTCCCCCTTCCAAAGCTTCGTTTTTTTGCTGCATATCAGGATTATTCTTTACTGGAGATGCAGAGATTTTTTTTCCTTCAAGATCCTGAAAACCTTCCTTTTTCTTTTTTGGAGTGGTATCCTTTATTGAGTCTGTCACTGCAGCCATGGAAGGCAGCACAGCATGAGATGGACCATCTGTAAATGCCCATGGGGGAAAAGAGGAATTTACCTGCCTCATTGTCCTGAGGAACTGGGCTGTGATACAAGACAATTGCTTTGAAAAACACGAGGCCGCACTTGTGAGTTCCCTTCAGCAGAGCTGGGACAGGGACTCTGCAGTGCACCTGAGCAGCTGAAGCCTGTGTTTTGCCATGAGTGCTGAACAGTCATCAGGAGCTACAGGTAGGACTCACAGTGCTGTAGGTGACCACATTGCTTAAATAAGCAGAGGAATAATAAGAACAAGGAGTCAGGATGAGGTACATTGATCTCAGGTTTGTCTGTGGGTCTCTACACATTGAATAGCACCTGTGAGAAGAATTACAGAAGATCTCTTAATTAAGGATCATAACATACCTGACCTTTCCCAGCATTTTAGTAACTTCTTAAGACAGCCTTAAGTGAATGTCAGACTGGCACACAGTATTGACATTCCTGAAGAATATGGAAAAGCAAGCCCAAGGATGAATGAGAATGCCAGCTCCACACTTGTCCTCAGACAGAACATAGATCTTAATTTCTGGAAATACTTCTCAAGCCTCAGGGGCTTTATGGTCTGTGTCTCAGCTCAGAGTTTTATGGGTGCAGTATTAAAAACACTGGCAAAGGTTTCACACAAGTACAGTGAGTGCTCTGTCTGCACCAGGAAGGAAAACCAGCTCCTTCCTGATTTATAGCCCTGGATAGCCTGTCTATTTACTTTTTCCAGGCAAGGTTTCAATAGGACACATAAGATACCTGGCAGAGTTCTTCTATGCTCAGCGGTGGGAGGAATGGGTTAAAAAGTGGAAGGTTGGAGGAGGATTGTGAATTGCCCAAGTGACCTTGGAGCTGGGAATAACCCTTGATAAGCCTGAGTAAACAGCAGGCCAGGGATCCTCTGGCATGAACTGAGTTTAACAGTGCCTGTGTCTCCACTTGTGTGCCTCTGCCCAGGTGTTGGTTCAGGGATCCCCTGGCTAGTGAGGTAATGGAAATAAATTTATTCTTTTTGTTATAGTCGTGAATTGGTGTTTTTTTCTGGCTGCCTGCCTGTGCTGACTCACATACTCACTGTTGAGCTGACATAAGCCTGCATAGACCACACGAGGGTAGGGAAAAGCTCTTGATGTCAGGCTTAAAGTCTGCCTGACTTTAAGCTCTCCCATAGCACTTCTGTTGGCTAAACTGGACTTTTTACAGATCTGCTGTGCCTACCCACCAGCCTTTGAACCCAAGACAGAATATATCTGAATACCCCTTGGTGGAAACTTCTATTATAGGTCTATTTTTCTTAAGGACAAGTATTCCTAGGACAGAGGAGGGGGAAATCCCATCAAACCCTGTGACTTTTGCTAGGTTGATTAACAGCAGTTGGTGCCATTACTATACATTGTGCCCCTTTAACTTCTTTCAGCATATATTTTATAGTTCAGTCAAAACACACTCCTGACCCAGAACTTGTGGGTGGCAGCCAGTCCCCGTGGGTGGCTCAGCCAGCAGGGTTTGTGTGTTCCCTGCAAAAGCCAGAAGGGAAAATCAAGTTTCTGATCCACAACCCCACTAGGCAATAGCCTCGGCAGAAAGTAATTTGCAACTGCTCTGCTCCTAATGGGAAAGAAATACTGGCCTGAGAACAGCATGTGCTGTGAGGACCTGTAGTGTTAACATATAACCAATAGTACATTTCAAGCACTCTCTGGTACAATGTTCCTTCCAGTGGCTTCAGTGGATACCCACATCTATGAGGTAGCTCCTGATGTGGAAAGCCTGGAGAGCTTAACCTCTTAAAGCTTAGATGTTCTTGTGGACACTTGAGTAGAAAGAAAAAAAAAAAAACAGAGAAAGAACTTAAAAGGCACCAGAAACAAAAAAGGGTACCTCAACTTTCTCTTTTGTCCCCACAGACCTGCGTCTTGCCCAGTGGCTCTGCTGCTCTGAAGCCCTGCAGCTTCATGCTATGCAACC